ACACTGTAAAAATCAAGAGATACAGTGTAATTCTTATAGGATTACAATGAAAGATCAACTGAAAACTACAGAGTAAATCCACTAAGAATTACAGTGTAGATCCATTGCAAATTACAGTATAAATCCACTAAAAATACAGTGTAAATTCACTGAAAATTACAGTGTAAATCTAGTAAAAAAAATCCACCTAAAATTACAGTGTAAATTCGCTAAGGAATTACAGTGTAAATCCGCTACGAAATTACACTGTAAATCCACTAAGAATTACAGTGTAGAACACTCAGAAAACACACTATAAATCCACTAAGAAAACAGGGATTTCAAATAGAGCAATCAAACATTTACATAGCTGAAAATGAAAAGGACATTCTGTTTCACAGAAACACAAAGAACAGAGCTGAAATTTGCTAGCAGAACGCACTAAGTACGACAACGAAGGGATGTACATCTACAAAAGCTAGCAAAGGATAAAAAGGGACATACAAACTTGCAGCCCAGAGTTAATTCACAATACAATTCAGACTGTAGTTACACTGATACTGAGTGTAATTGGTGCTGGAAAACGAGTGGAAAATTTAGAGTAGATCACTCAAACTTACACATTACTGAAGTTACAAGACAAAAGCACTCAAATATTACAGAGTAGATCACTGAAACTTACACATCACTGAAGTTGCAAAGACAGACACAAAAGCACTCGAAAATTACAGAGTAAGATGGACTGATAAAACCTGAAACTACAGTCCAGAATCACTGACGCTTAACTGGTAAAATTCAGTCCCAATCACTCCGATTTCGCCCAAAGTTACAGCCCAACTCACTGACAAAAACAACTGGCATCGTACACACATACAGTCGAAACATCTACGAGCTAGATCAACATTTACATCCACACATCTAGGGGTTGTACACATATAGGGGCACATGAACAACTACAGAAACATTCGGGAGCATAAATAAAAAATAGGCATAAGGGAACCAAACCCTACAACTATATTGAATCAGGTGTTGCTGCATCTACATCTACTAGATGTTGCTCCATCTGCAACAAAAATCAGACATCTAGGAACCACCACAAACAACCTAAAAGAGCTAGGATCCACCACTACACACGGGAACAAGCACACCTTTAAGCCAGATCTAGCAGGATCCTATAGAAATTGCAGCGAAATGAAGACATGGGGAAAGGATACTGGCAAGCAAACCTCGTTGTGGGAAGAAGGGAGGCACAAGGCTCGGAGAACACCACAGCAAAAGGAGGAGCATCACGAAATCAATGGAAGCAGATAAGACACCGCCGCCGAATCACCATGCGTCA